TTCAAGAAATGAGCCAAACCAATGCAGAAAAACTGCAACTGCACTTCTCCTCCAAACACAGATGTCGCTACAGACACAACATCTCTCCCTCCCTGAGACAAAGCCCTTCTTTCCTGCTCTCCTCAGCTCTGAGACCACCGGGGGGGAGGAACTCGGACCGGCGCTCCAGTGCTAGTTAGCAGCCACTTTATCAGTCTTCTCTTATTATTTTCACTTGTTTTTGTTTTTGTTTTGAGTGTTGTTTCACATGCAGAGAGATGTGGTTTATTTATTTACTCAGCTGGCTGTCGCTGGTCATCCAGATATCCTTCGTCACTCTAGCAATAGGTGAGTCCCTGCTAACGCTAGCGGAGCGAGGTTAACTCCGCTTTCACTAAATCTGCGTCCGTGTTTCTCATTAAACAGTGTGCGAAAAGACACAACAAACACTATCCCTGCCTCAGTCACAAATAGATGCGTGTGTTTTCTTTGCTGAAGTGCTGTTAGCTGTCTGCTTGGCTCAGACACGTGAAGCTGTAGGTAGCGAGGAATATATATGCTTCGTTTTTAAGCTTTTACAATGATAGTTATTTGTTTTTAGACTTTATAGCCTTAAGTGAAAGTGCAGTAATGTATTAAAGTTAGATTTTTAGCACCTAACTCGTTTATTTGGTGCATGGAAACACTTCTATTGGATGAAATGTTTGCTAATAGGTAGCTGCCATTTAGCGTCGTCTCTCTCTTCAGCCCTCTACAGTAGATTATCGATACAAAGGCTTATCGATACAAACCAATCAATCCAATAACTCCAGTGTGCTCAAAATGTCTGACACCCAGTTAAAGGCCAGCTACAGTAGCAGGTTAGCATGTGAGCTAATAGGAACTAGTTAATATTTCTACTAACTTAAGTAACATTTAGCTCTTTAAGGGGCTTTTTTCCCTTTTGTTTGCATTAAACAGTTAACACCTAACGTGCCAGTCACCAGCAGCACAAACAATATGTAGAGATTTGCTTTTAAAACTTTTGATGTGCAACTCGTCTGGGAGCCCTTTCTGTCCACGTTGCCAGATATTTACCTGGCCACGTAACACCTGCTGCAGCTGTCAGGTGTCAGGTGTGTCTGCAGGCTGTCACACTCTGTCAGTGTCAGAGCTGTTTACTCTGCTACAACAACAGAGACAGAGACAGGGTGTTTTCTTTATGTATTTATCCTTTATTGTCATGCAGGAACACAGATATCACATATATATATTATTATTATTAACCGGCTGAATGATGTCACCACTTTATAATAAGGAAGCTTATTAATGGTTGGATTATATTTGCGTCTAAAGTGTGTTACTGGTTCAACTAAGGCCCTCTCCAATGGACTGTTTAATCACATACTGCCTGGTAAAAGAGCTACTGACCATCGGTTTATTTATTAACCTGTTAACCTTTTATTACTGCGTTATCACCAAATAAAGAGAGTCAACAAAAGCCAGAAGTCTTTCTCGCAACGTGGCAACTCTTATTAATGATAACTGGTTTGTAAAGTATGAAATAGAAAGTGGGAGATATGATTTATTAGCAGTGACTGCCTTACTTAGTGGCTTTCCTTCTTTGTTGCCTGTTCATAAGCTGCTTTGTAACACTGCAACAGTAAGACATTGTATCCAAACTAGGTGAAAGAGCCTGTTTTAACTTATGACTGCCCTCACCTCTACTTTTTTAAGCCAATATCAATATGCATTATCTTCCACCCCTCAATAGGAATTGACAAACACTAAAGATTTGTCATCACATGCTTAATTTGTTAAACCTTTCTTGTGCATTATTGCCTGATTTAATCACAGCTTTGCTTCTTTTATACCATATTTTTTTTCAAACAGTGTTTTTAGTTAATGTTATTAGTTAAAATCCAACAAGCAGCAATGTTTTTTTTTTTTTTAAATGGCCCAATTTATTGTTCATATTTTATTCATTGTGGCGAGCTGTCCAGTGCTGAGACAAAGTTTAAAGTGAGTTTCTGTCTGCTTCCAGACAAAAAGCAGGTCAGAAGAGCCAGACTGCTGCCGTCGTTGCTTTTCTTCACTCTCTTTTTCTGACTTTTTACAAAGTGTAGATTGCCGGATGAAACTCTCAGAGCCGACACCTTCTCAGCTCCTGGCGTACATGTTTGACTAGTTTGATTCATTGTCTGCCTCTTTTTGGTGTATCGCCTTCATTCCTGTGGGCCTGTCTGTGTTGCCAGTGTGTTTTTATTAACCTACTGGTATGAACTGATATTATTTGGCCTGTCTTTGTTGCTTTGTATGTAGGCTGTTAAGTAGGGCAAGGTATTGAATCTCAATACCGATCGGGTAGTGGCAGAAATGTGTCTTTAGCACAAAGAAAACTGTAAAGTACTAAAGGTTTGCCTTGGATTTGTGTTCAGATTCATACTCGAAATATCATTTAATGTTTAAAATTTCAGAATGTTTGAGAGCTATCAAGAGATTTGTAGAAAAGCATGTTAATATTCCTCAGAACAAGACATTGAGCAATCATTTCCCTTAAGTATAATTTTGGTAAGGGTACTAAAACTCAGGTTATTGTATCATAACTAGATTTAAAAAGTGTAAAACCATACCAAGCCTTACTGTTGACTGCAGTGTAGATGACACTATTCATGGTCTAAATTTATAATATCTCTTGTATTCTCAAACATCTCTTATACACTATTCAGATTAACAAATCATCTTTCTTGTTTTTGAACCCCAAATATGAGTTAAAAAGCGGCACATTGAGTTAATAGTTTTAAAAATAGTGGTTTGTGTTGATTTCCAGCACAGATGAAATAATTCTGGCTTCATGTTTTTTTGTTGTTTTTCCTCTTTTCCTGCTTATGACTTCACCTTTGTCTTCACCCAGCTGCTGGCCTGTACTACTTGGCAGAACTAATAGAAGAATACACAGTAGCCACCAGTCGAATAATAAAGTACATGATAATGGTGAGTAAGTGGATATAGGGGGATGCCTTTTAAAGAATATATTCTTATATTAAAATACGCACTCGTCAACTCCCGTGTCAAACTTCTGTTTTGACTGTTTGTGCGAATGTGTCCAGTTCTCGACAGGTGTGCTGGCATGTCTCTACATTTTTGAAGGCTTCCCAGTGTTGATGGTGGGAGTCGGCCTCTTCACCAACCTGGTGTACTTTGGCCTCCTGCAGACTTTCCCCTACATACTGCTGAGCTCCCCAAACTTCATCCTCTCCTGTGGTAAGCGTAACAGACTCTGGCTTTAGGTTCTCGATATCAGAATCACCGAAAGAGAATAAAAAAACGTGTAATCACAGTAAGGATCGATGCCTCCTTTTCGATTAAAGAGACGCAAAATAATCTGTTTGGAGTTAATAAACTGAATAAAAGATGAATGTATTTTACTTTTTCCAACATTGTTTCTTTCCTTTTCTTTCTCTCAGTGTTGGTGGTGGTGAACCATTATATGGCCTTCCAGTACTTTGCACAAGAGTATTATCCATTCTCGGAGGTAAAATCATCTCAGATTTACTATACCATGTAAAGTCTTCGATATACTGCTTTTTTTTATGAATTGGAGAAAGATTTCTGCCATTGCCGTGTCTCCTGTACTTGTCTTTATAATGTTTGATTTGTTCCTGACTGGTATAAAGGTGCTGGCATACTTCACCATCTGCCTGTGGGTGATCCCCTTCGCCTTCTTTGTGTCACTGTCAGCGGGGGAAAATGTGCTTCCGTCCACCATGCAACAAGGAGGTGAGATTTTTTCTTTCTTTTCTTCAGCGTGTCGTTTATGATTGAAGCATTCGGAGCGGTTAGGTGATCCCCCCCCCCCCCCCCCGAGACAAAAT